AACCGGGAAGGGAAAACTAAAAGGAACCTAGATTTAACTGGAAGAGTAATAAAAGGAACCCAGTTTTAAACTTAAAGGGTACTAAAAGGTATCCGAACAAAACCCTGAAGAGTACAAAAAGGGTACCCAAATTTTTTAACTTGAGAGTACTAAAAAAAACCTAAATTTAAATTTGGAAGGGGTCCCTACAAGGTACCCCTGTTTTTAATTTGAAGAAAACTACAAGGTTCCTAATTTAACCTAAAGGGGGGGAGTACTAAAAAGGTTTTCCTGAAATTTAAAAACCTAAAAAGTACTACAAGGTATCCGGAACTTAATTGAAATTTCTAAAAGGAACCAAATTTTAAACTTGAAGGTACTAAAAGGTATCCTGAATTAACTTGAAGGAACTACAAGGTTTCCTGAACTTAACCTAAAGAGAAACCAAGGTATCCTAGATTTAATTGAAGGTACTCCCGGGTACCCTGAATTTAACTTGAAGAGTACCCCAAAAGGTATCCTTTAATTAAACCTAAAGTTACTACAAGGTATTTTGAAAAAAACCGGAAGAGTACTAAAAGGTATCCTGAATTAACCTGAAAAACTCCCAAGGAACCCTGTTTAAACCCCTTAAGAGTACACAAGGTTCCGGAACTTAACTTGGGTGTAAAAGGTATCCTGAATTTAATTTGAAGGGGTACTACAAGGTTTTATCCTGATTTAACTTGAAAGAACAAGGTACCCTGAACTTAACCTAAAAGGGAAACTCCCAAGGTACCAAAATTTAAACCCTGAAGGGTTACTCCAAGGTATCCCCTTTTTAATTAAAGAGTACTCCCAAGGTACCCTGCATTAAAACCTTAAAGGTGTTTAAAATTTCCCTAGTTTAACTTGAAGATTATACAAGGTACCCCGTTTACTTGAAGGGGGGCAAAAAAGGAACCCAAAAATTTTAAAACCTTAAAAGGGAGTCCAAAAGGTATCCTAACTTAACTTGAAGAAACAACAAGGAAACCTTAACTTAACTTGAAGAGTATAAAAATTTTCCCTTTAAAGTTGCCTTGAAGAGCCCTAAAAAGGTATCCTGGGTTTAAACCCAAAAAAGTACTCCAGGTTAAAAATCCAAGGTTGGGAAATTTTTTTTAAAAAATTTTGACACGGTTTCCCAGTTTGAGTCTGAAAACGGCCCCTTGTATTTTCCGATCCTTGTTTAACTTGCCGTCCGCAAGGTCCCACTCCCTTTTACCCCCGGCGATGCAAAAACCCCCTTACAACCCATGAAAAGTTTCATATAAAAACTAGCCGAGTTCACAAGTTAAATCCTTTTTTATGAGAAGAGCTCGTTAAACTGTTCCTTTCCCTTCATTATCCCCCGTCCTCGAGTTTCGAAACTGCCAGAGAACTCTCTTAAAAAATTTTAAAGACTCGGTGTTTAAAAAATCAAGAGGTTTTGGGAAAATTTAAAAAAACCTTTGCCCACGGGGGGCGGGAGTTGGTTTTGGTAGGGAAACCCTAGTGTTTCAGACCCCTTTTTTAACCTTGCCGTAAAGAAAAGGTTCATCCATACTTTAGCCCGGCGAGGCAAAATTAACTCCTTAAACTCCAGGACAAATTTTTTTCATTTAAATATACTACCCGGTTCCCCAATTTAAAACCCCTTTTGGTTTGGGGAAGAGCTCGTTAGAACTGTTTCCCTTTTTCCCTTCAGTATCCCCTTCTCCCCCGAGTTTCGTAATGCCAAAGGAACTCTTTTAAAACAATTACTAGACTCGGGATTAAAAACCCCGGGGGGGTTGCATTAATGAACATATTGAAAACGGGTGCAGAGTTGAGTCGTACGGAACCTAGTAGTTTCAATCCTTGTTTAACTTTGCCTTTACAGGCAAGGTCACCAAACTACTTTAGCCCGGCGAGGCCATAACCCCCCTCTAAAAAACTCCATGACAAATGTTTATATATATACCCTTTTTTCAAAAAGTTATACCCTTGTGTTTGAAAAAGGGCTCGTTAAACTGCTTCCTTTCCCTTCAGTATCCCACGTCTCTAAAGTTTCGAAAATGCCGCCGAAACTCTTTTAAAACCCAATTACTAACTCGGGATTAAAAATCAAGGGGCTTGCTTTTAAAAAAGAACATATTGACACGGTGCAGAGTTGAGTCTGTACGGAAAACCCTAGAAGTTTCAGATCCTTGTTTTAACCCTTGCCCGTAACTTTTCCCCTGAATTTTAAATTTGAAGGGTACTCCCAAAAAAATCCTTTAAGTTAACTTAAACGATTACAAAGGGTTTAACCTAATTTAACTTGAAGATCCTACAAGGAAACCTTAAGTTAACTTGAAGAGTACTCCCAAGGTAACTAGAGTTAACTCTTATAGAGAACAAAATTTTTAGCTTCAATTTATCATTTATCTATTAAATTTAAACCAAAAAACAACCCCTGTTGTTGTACCCCGCAGGCAACCGGGATCAATTTAAAGAAAACGATGATATAAAACCCTAAAGGGAAAAGCAGAAAGCAAAAAAATTTTCCGCCTACTACAGCCTACAATACAGTTAGATATGCTTTCGTCCCCAAATTTAAATCGGTCCTAAAAATTTAAATTTTTTTCGCCTCTGGGTTTTTTGCCTCGGATCCTTTTGGATTGAGATCCTATGGGGCCCGAGAGAAAAACCAAACGCCTCTGGGAATTTGGTTAAATCCTATCCCCCGGGCTGGATTAGCGTCAAACCGATAGGTTTTTTAATTTCCTTCGGGCCCGGAGCAAATCCTATCGACCTCGGAACTTACACCCCCTATCGCCGTTTTTGGTGATGGGAAACATCGGAGGTAGCCGGGGGGGACTGGACCCCGGCGTTGGGATTATAAAATCCGAGGTTCCCCGGACGCCCCTTATAGGAAAAAACCAGGGTAATCCTATCTAATTAGAATCCCCAAAAATTTCGATTTTCTGAACATAAACCGACAGCCGTGTTAAAGGTTTTTTTTTTGGGGCCCCCATACACACTGTAAAAAATTTCTACCGGGCTTTCCTAACATTGTCCCGTAGAACGTTTAGTAGATTGTTGTTGCCATTTCTGGAAACGGGGTATGCTAAATAAAAAAAAAGGGTATTTCAGTCTGGGTAAAAGGGAAGTTTTGAAAAGGGTTTTTTCAGAGGGCCTATCATATCTCCCCCCCACTTATTTTTATGATGGGTAAAAAACTGTAACATAGAACATCTTGAGAAAAACGTATTTAAAACGTTTTTAAAAAAATTGTGAATTCAAATTTGCGTAACGAAAAAAATTGCGTAACGAAACCCCTGAAAAGTCCCCCGTTAACTGTTGCTGAAACTTTTTTGGGGAAAAACTTCAAGAAATACTGCGAGGCAATTTTCAAAACAGCGGTATAAACATGTTTTGGGAGCATAATTCCTCAAGTGAATTCCTTTAAGGGGTATCAAAAATAGCGATGTTTTAAAAATACAAGTATATGATTTTACCCACTCTTTATACCAGATTAGACTTTTGAAGTAAAAATTTTTTTAAAGAAGTTGTTGAATTTAAAATTTTAAACCGTAATTGATAAATTTGTATTTCTAAAAAAGGGCAGAAAAACATGTTTCCCTTTTCCCAAAAAAATCTTTTATTCTCATGGGGTGCTTTTTAGTCAAGATGACCTAAAAGAGGGGTTTTTAAATTTTTTATTTATAAACTTTTGTTTTCTTCGGGGGGGATGTATTCAAACAAACCAAGGGGGATCCTTTGGGTTTGGGAAAATTTAAAATTCCCCTATTGTGATCTCACTTTGGCAAAAAGGAATTTAATTATATGAAACGTTTACTTCAGGGAAAAAAAATGGGAATAGGGGAAAGAATTATCCAATAAAAACGATTTTGTTGACGGGTTTATCTTTATTAACTTTTCCTTTAAATTTTTATAAAATTTATTAAAGATAATTTTTCCTAAACATTGGAGATGGAGGGGGCTGTTTTTAAAATAAAATCATTTTAAAAAATAAATTGATTTAAAAATTTAAAATTTCCACAAAGGACTAGAAATATCAGTGGGATAAAAAAATGTGATTTTAATTTTTTATGTTTTATCCCCTTCATTTCCCCCCAGTAACATCCCAACCGAGGGGTTTGGGTAACCCCGTTTTTTCAAGTCCAAATTCCCTTTTAAAATGGGAATGTTTGGGACTAGATTGGATATCTTTTCCTCCCCCCTTTACAAGATATTCAAAATTCTAATTTTATAGAGGATATAGCCGTGATAGACTTATTAAAGGTTTTAAACGTTTTCTGAGGAAAAAATAAAACGTTTTCAGGAAATTCGGTATTCTAGTGGGCCATAACCTTTTTAAAGAACTCCCCTGTATCTTTTGATATTTTTGAAACACGGGGACCCAACTTGCTAAACGGGAAAAAAATTTTAAACTTAGGTGAATAAGGGACCCAAATGGGTAAACCCCAAGTTCAGACTGACCTTTAAAATGGGCGAGCGTAAACCCAATTGGGCATTTTAATTAGATTTTTAGTAGTTTTTATTATTGAAGCTTGTAAAATTTCAAAACTAATGGCTCCTGTAAAATTTAATTAATTGTTTGTTCCGTTTTCTTTTTTTCCCTTTTTTCCTTTCCCTTTTCATCCCCTTTAGTTTTTAAAATTCTTGCTATAAATGGGCTACAGTAACACATTAAACTAAGTACCAAACAACAAGGGGAGGTGGATCGTTGGATACCGTTAAAACCCGATTTAAAAACCGCAAATTCCCGTTTGCAAGCCCGGGGGCCACTCTGCATTGTCACAACATCTTTCAAAGCTGGGCCCTATAGCCTGACTGACAATGTTTCTTTGACCCGATGACAATGTTTCTTTTTTTCCCCATTTAGAAAACAAAGATTTGGTTTTATTTAGCTTATAAATATTTTTACCTAAAAGTTTACCCAGATTTTCAATTAAAAATCTTCAACTGTTAGATAGTAAAGTATTTAAATTTTGGGAAAAATTTTATGAATTTTCAAAACAAGGTGTCTTTTTGAAGTATAATTATAGTTGGGATACAAATCAAAAAAAGTTTTTTACATCATTTAAATAGTTTGTATTTTGATCTTTAAAGGGTTTTAAAATATTTAAATTTTTCTTCCAAGATCAAATAACAAGAAAGGTTTTTTTTTTATGATTTCCGGGTTTAAAATAAATGCACATCATACATTATAGGAAAACTTTGAAATATTTGGTTTTGATAATGGGGAAACAATTTTACGGAAAATAATAAGACAAATCGCAAGGGCAACTCGTTTAAAACTCGTAATCGTAAACTCGTAAACTGTTAAAACTCGTAAAACAACTCCAATAGTTAGTTGGTGATATGAACTGTCTTTAAAAGATATGTTTCAAAATTAACTTTAAAAAAACTCTAAATATGATCCATAATACCCTTGGGTGTTTAGGGGTGGGGCGATCATGCACGGACCGAAGCTGGGGGGGGCGGGCACGAAAAATCAAGCCAAAGGGATTAAACATATTTTTAAAATTTTTTAACGTCCCGGAAGGTTTACAAAACCCCTAAAATTAGAAATTTCTAAAAAATAGACATGAAGAAAGAATCTCACTCCAAAGGGATGTGGGTTTAACAAGACGGTTTTTTTAAGGGGCCCAAATTTAAGAGTTTTGAAACGTTTATCCCTTTTTACCCGCATTCGTGTTTTTGTGAAATTTAAAAAGGGAAATCCCCTGGTCAGGCAGGGGGTGGTGTTTTCGGGATTACTTCTGTATAGTTGAAATACAAATTTGGTGGGGGTCCCCAGTAGCCCAAAACCGCTTAAATATTGCTGTACAACTACTAGAGAAAAAAGGCGAATTCTAAAAAACCCGTAGAAAATGTAAGGGCTTTGCTACAGTTTAAAGTGTTTTAAAATTGTAAAATGTCACTTTTAAATTACACCCGAGTTGTAAACAATGCTAAAATTTTCGGGGTAGGCAGGAGGGATGGAATCTGAAAACCTTCCAAAAAAAGTTTGTTTTAAAAAAGGGCAAAACCGTTGGGGAAAAAAAAACAAGCGATTAAGGTGAAGAAATTTTTAAGGCTTCTAAGGGGTTTTTAAATTGATAAAATTTTGTAGTACGTAAAACCCCCCACTTGGGGGAAAAAAACATCCCCGGTAAATCGGGGTTTTTTTTGTTTTGATTAAGCATGTTAAGGGCCCTAAATTGGGGGAAAAGGGAAAAGGCCCCGGGGAAAAGGGGTTTGCGGGAAATCGGGGTTTGCAAATAAATCGGGGTTTTACTGTACCATGTAGTGTGTACTATGTGGCATTGTAGTAACCTGTATCTCATCCCATGGGATTGTATGGAGGAACTATTTGACCAAACTTAGAGCATGCAAATAGGCAGTATTGTTACTATCTGTATACTGTCAATATGGAGTACTGCTGAACCTCAGTACAGACTACAAATCACTAATATCTATACCATTTAGATGTTACATGACGTACACATTATTGATTAGAGCGGTTCTTCAGCACGATTAGATGAGAAAAAAAACGAGTTATTTTAATTAATAGATTGATTAGGAGAGATCTTACGAAGCACAACAATTGCTCAATGCTCATGTGCAGATCTTACTTGTATAGAAAATGTTATAGAAACTAACCTGGTGTGGCTGCAGGAGGAGCAGTGTGCTGAACTTGAGCTGGAACCTGGACTTGTTGAACATATTGTGGTGGGTCCTTGTTGAACATATTGTGGTGCTCCTTGTTGAGCATATTGTGGTGCTCCTTGTTGAACATATTGTGGTGCTCCTTGTTGAGCATATTGTGGTGCTCCTTGTTGAGCATATTGTGGTGCTCCTTGTTGAATATATTGTTGTTGGCCTCCAGGATTACCTTGAACGTACACAACCTGCTGTGGTAACTATGGTTACAGTGGGACTATCTAGATATTATCTAGATACTCATTCATTTAGGATGAACCAAGCTTAAAAAAGATCGTGTATATTAACGATATCAACTATAATTTATAGGGTTTCTAAACTACGAAGCATATCACCTATATGGTTAAGAAAAAAAAAGTGATGTTAAAAATATTAAACCTGTTGTGGCCCAACGGCAGATCCCTGTCCTTGAATGTTTAGACGGATCTGAGTCTTCACATTCTGTTCAAGGTTAGCATGTTTTTAATGTTTATGTCGTAAATTTAGGTGGAAATTGATATTTTAAATGATAAAAACCTTATTTTACATATAATTTTAGGTTTAACCTAAGTATTCTATACAATATCGTTGATCGTGAGTGCTTTATAATCACTAGCAGGAACCCGTCTAACCCTAAAGTGGTGTCAAGATTCAAAAGACTAAAGTAATTATTACCTATTTAATTCGCGTTTTTAAATAGGTGATTTAAAATAGAATTGGTAATAAGAATAAGGTATATTACCGAGTTACAGCACGTATGTGTAGCGGAGTAGAAAGCCCAGGCTATAATGACAATTGCCTGGAGAGCCGTATAAACGGCTGAAAAGCCTCTCAGACTGTTGATTCCTGTTTGATCTCCTGCAGTTAGTAACCCGCCCAAGATAGCAGCAGCGGGGTAGATGATGAAACCAGAGAAGAAACACATCACAGATAGTATTATTCCCTGTAAGTAACATCACTGTAAGTAACTGTTAGTAACGTAAGTAATATCAGTATGTGTACTCAGTGTAGTCTGTTTGTTTCTATTACGTGAATGTCTTTTTAATATGAAAAAACCTTTTTATTAAAACCTATCCTTTTTGGGACCTTTACCGATAGTTAAAATTCGACATCTAGCGTCATCTAGCGACAGATAGCGCTATTTTCACAGAATTTTGGGCGACATTTATATAGCGGAGAATGTCGGTTTGTGACAGTTCACGCTAGATGTCTCAGCGCTGGCTTTTACTAATTCGCTCGCCCAAAAAATTATTATGTGACTTTGGTTTATATGGTTTTGCAGCCGAACAAAACGGTTTTACATAAACCCTAATTCCAACCCTAACCCTTACCTGGGGACCTCACTACCAAGTGATGATGCTGTGTTGACCTTCGACCAATCAAAGATGTACCTCATCATGCCAAGCAGTTATGCTTGTAGGTGAATATACACTTATAGAGTACAACAACTTTATAACACTCCTTATGGTGAAATTGATGATTTATTTGTAGCGCCGCGCGCCAACTTCAAACTAAAAATCTATCTTCTCCCACATTTTTTGAGCAATCACCCTAAAACTTTCAGGATATGTTCTAGGGACCATTTAGAAGAGATCCTCATACAAAATTTTGAGATAGGCCTTTAAAGATTTTTTATTCAATTTTGAAAATCTTGGACCTCGTTTTTTACGATTTTTTGAGGTCCAAGATTTTCAAAATTGAAGTTTATCTTGGGATAGTTTAAAAAGGTACGTTTTTAGAAGAGTTTTAAAAGATTCCAGGGATTGAGCTGAAGAGATGGTAACAGGCAGACGATTGTAGATCTTTGGAGCCACTACAGAGAAGCCACGCTCACCAAACTTCGTATTACAACACATGTTCCATGACATAAAGTAAAATTACTTTCCTGGAGAGTTACAGGCAAAAAACTGTTTTGGTCACGTGACGAATTCTATTATTTAGGGTATATATATTTAAGTCTTTGTTTTAATGGTATATTAGAACCAGACAGAAACAAATTGTGAGGGGCCTGAACGAACCCCTCGGTTTCAGTTCCTTGTTTAAGGGGGCAGGGGTTTTTTGACGATTTTTCGAGGTCCAACATTTTAAAATCGAATAAAACATGTTTAAAGGCCTATCTCAAAATTTTGCCTGTATGATCTCTTCTAAATGATCCTTAGAACATATTCTGAAAGTTTGAGGATGATTGCTCAAAAAATGTAGGAGAAGATAGATTTTTAGACTCGATTTTCAGGGCACGCAATTGAAAATCGCTTTCACAGTACAATTACACACAAGCGCTGACCTTTGACTCTTTGACCGGCGATAATTTCGGCTAAGAACAATATTTTTCTATCGGACTAAAAGCATCTGATAGATATCACTCCCATCTATTAGAAACAACTAAAAAGTCGATTTTGAGAAAATTTCCATGAAGACCCCCCCTGCCCCTTAACACTGCCGTACAGGGTTAGAGTAAGGTTAGGGCAAGGCCAAGGGTTGCGGTTACTTGGTTAGGGTTCGGGCATATTACTATATTATGGTCATGGATAGTTTCGGGCTTAATGTTATGGTTACTGTTAGGGTTAGGGTTCATATTAGGGGTTTTGTAAAACCGTTCGTCAGATTTCGCTGCAACATACAGCGTTAGACATCGCTAGATGTCGCCCACAAAAAAGGCCATAAATTCTATGCACAAAGCGCCAGGTGCGTGGACTCATGTTGCGGAATGCAGCGCATGGTTTACCAAGCGGCTCTCTGCGGTATGTGTCCAACACCTGGGAGACAGTAGCAGTGCAGCTACCTGAAGGTGGGGGCTCGTCGACGGAGTCTAAACAGAGGCAGCGGATCTGGGTGGATGTCTCACCCTCGGGTGAGACATTCTTAGAGAGACACAGTTTTCTCCTAGAAACGCTGGTTGCTGCTAATCGTCTTCGGCCGGCCCCCCGACACAGTGCCCGACCCAAAAAGTCCTAGTACTCGTCCGGTGAGGGTATCTGCAGATGCTGCACGCCATGCCCCCAACACCAATACTAATCCAACCAACACTACCCACCCAAACACCAACAACAAGAACACCAACAAACAACGAAATAAGACACAGAGAGGTGCAAAGCGCCGGAAAACCACCGCTAAAACTACAAAAATAACAGGTAAAAATCATTATGAATATTACTCTGTTACACAAATTAACCTTAAACGCAAGTACAACGCTTGGAAAACCCTGCTGGTGAACACTCACGGCAGGAAAAATCCTATTGTACTAGCGACCGAACCATACACCAATAACAAAAACCTTATCCCACCTATTAGCAAAGAACTAACCGAGTATTACTACAAAGCCGGGGACATTAGACCCCGTGCCGCCATAGTAATACACAAAAACCTAGCTGTAAAAAGCTGGGAACTATCGCAATTCACAACCCCGGATCAAGTAGCCATTAAGATTCAACTTAGCTCATCAGAAGTCATTCTGGCAGCTTCGTACATGGATATTAATGGTCCAGCTCCATCACACGAAACAACACCTCTAGCCAAATATGCTATTGACAACAACATACCGCTTATTATAGGCTCGGACACTAATTCCCAACATACCCTTTGGGGAAACAAGTTGTGCAATAGAAGGGGGAGGAACTCCTTGATTTCCTCTCGTCGCTAGGGCTCTCCTGCTCCAACAAAGGTTCAACTCCAACATTCCTCAACTCACGAGGTCATAATTCCATCATTGACCTCACTATCACCAACCAACAGGGGGCTGAACTGATCAGTAACTGGCACGTTAGTGATCTTTACTCAAACTCCGATCACAGATATATCATGTTCGACATTACTTCTGGTCCCAAAAAAGAACCAAGACAAATACGCCTAGTCAAGAACACTGACTGGGCGAAATTTGACGAGATTCTTTACAACAACAATGATCTCCACAACACCTGCGTTAACACACCACACGACATTGATCACAAAGTTAACACCATTAATACTGCTCTCCGAGCGGCCTTCGAGGAGGCATGTCCCATTACTTACATCTCCAGCGCTGTCCGAAAACCACCCTGGCTAACTCGAGAAGTTGAGGAAGCACAGAGGGGTATAAGACGCAAACTCATCACAGCTCGTCGAATCAAAACTGATGCTTCATGGCTCGCTCTTAGAGAAAGCAATAAGCAATACAACAAGATCCTGTCGAACTCCCAGCGCAATGCGTGGCGGAAATTCTGTGCAGACACAGAATCGGTTAAGGAATCTGGCAGGATGAACAAGATTCTGAAAACCTGTACAGACACCAATAACAAACTTGAAGCCGTTTATAAACCAAATGGCGAACTCACCAAAAACGCAGAGGAGACACTGGAGGTCATGACACAAACCCACTTCAGGGAGAGTGTTACTGATCCGCCAGTTCCGCCTCTCTGCCCCTTACCCATCTCCACAGACTTACTATACAAAATCTACAGCCCTGAAAGAATCGAAAAGGCTCTCCTATCCTTCGATCCCTCGAAGGCTGCAGGACCTGACACTCTTAAACCTATCATATTCCAGAAAGCCTGGGCTCATATCAAAGACATAACAAAAAACATTATGACAAAAAACCATGAAACGCAACACATCCCAACTTTGTGGAGGGACTCTCTTGGAATCTTTCTCCCTAAGCCTGGAAAAACTGACTACAACAAAGCTAAGTCATTTCGAACGATCACTCTTTCGCCTGTGATGTTAAAGTTGCAGGAGAAAGTGATCTTATGGCATATGCAACATGACCTCAACATAGCTAATGATATCAACAAACGACAATTCGGCTTTAAGAAGGGCTGCTCCACAGAAGCGGCACTTCATAAAGTTACTCACACCATTGAGCGCAGAATAGCCAAGAAAGGATATGTCCTAGGTGTCTTTCTAGATATAGAGGGCGCCTTCGACAATGTCTCGTTCAAGGCTATCTCTGAAGCAGTCAAGGCTACGAAAGTGTACTTGGCTACAGCACAGTGGATCATCAACATGGTAACAAATCGATTCATCACACTAAATCATAAGGATAAGTCGAGAAGGGTACGGATCAGGCGAGGTTGCCCCCAAGGAGGCATTCTCTCTCCTTTTCTCTGGAACCTGGTAGTCGACGATCTCCTTTCCTTTACCGCAAAAGACATCCCGGGTTACCTGCAAGCCTTTGCGGATGATCTGTTGTCTCTAGCGGAAGGGGATGATTTAGACATCATCTGGGACCGAACATGCAAAACTATTAAAACGATAGAAAATTGGTGCAGAACCAAAGAGCTATCTATTAGCGCCCTTAAAACTCAGATAGTCATGTTTACCTGGAATAGTAAGTAGACTCTTAGACCTATAACAGTTGGCAACAACATTATAGGTCTGTCCAAGTCTGCTAAATTTCTAGGAGTGACCTTGGACAGCAAACTCAACTTCAATGAACATATCATCAACACCGCCAAAAAAGCCACGGCATCCCTCATGCAATGTCGAAGAGCTGTCGGCCCCACATGGGGTATGAGCCCCAAAACATGCAAATGGATGTACACTGCTGTCATCCGTCCAATCCTATCCTACTGCTGTAGTATATGGATCAGGGCCACTCAAACGGACTATAACGCGAAGAAACTCAAACGTGTTCAGGCATTGGCACTCAGAATGATGTCCGGTGCCATGCCAAGCACACCTTTTATCGCATTGAATCACCTCACCGACACTTCTGACATCATACTGTTCCTGCAAGGCGAAGCAGCAAAGGGTGCGGCCAGGCTACAAGCTTATGGCAGCCTCACTCTTGAAACTATCGCCTTCAGGAAGGGAACTATCAAAAATCATACCACTATCAACAAACAATTCATGGCAGATCTCATTATTCCACCTAGAGCAACGAGAGACCTAACAACACCAACCATGATGCTGGGACGGCACTTCACCGTCACAACTCCTGGAGCCGATACCACTGAATATAGAAATTCACTTCAAAACACCATTGACAACATTACCAGTGAAACGATAACCTGCTACACTGACGGGTCACTCACAGACTCAGGATGCGGGGCTGGCTATATCATCACAACTGACAACAATAACACCACCCTTGAAGAAAGATCATTCAAGCTCCCTGATTATTGCACTGTTTACCAAACAGAGCTCACCGCTATCATTGAAGCTTGCAAATATCTATCTACATATACCAACACACACATCATCATATGGTCCGACAGTCTATCATCTATTCAAGCTCTCTCCGCACTTTCAACGCGGAGTAGAACTACAAGAGACTGTTACGACTCTCTTAATTCACTCGGATCCAACAACACGCTAGAAATACGATGGATTGCAGCACACATCGGATTGTGGGGGAACGAAAAAGCAGATGAGCTGGCCAAGCTTGGCACAATCAGTGAATCCACTTTGAAGTGTCCAATTCCACAATCCTACATCAAGCGTCAAATCGACAACAAAGTCAACAGACTGAATCAGGAAACTTGGTTAACTGACGGTCCCAGACACACCAAACTGACACTCGGCCACAAGCATGCCAAAATCATCAAAAACCTCAACACTACACTCAGCAACAACAGACAAGATTACAGAACTGCAGTTCACCTCATCGCGGGTCACTGCGGCCTAAATAAACACCTTCACACCATTTGCAAATCAAACACCAGTGCTTGTCCTATGTGCGGCGACGGAGAGGAAACTGTCTCACACTTCCTTGGACAGTGTCCGGCTATTGCCCAAATTAGAGGTCAATATTTCCAGGACTACTACCTCTCTGTCAATGACATATTCGACAACCAACACATCACCACAATTGTCAATTTCGCAAACCGCACCAAACGCTTAATTGTGCCGGAAGAGCTGGATCAGACCGGGGTGACTTAAAGTATTATCTCATATGCTGTCTCGTCTCGTTTTACTTTTCCAAACCCAGCTGGCATTTAAGCGTATCATTTTGACTCATATAACATCTTACACCATCCTCCACCAATCACTCTGATCTCACCGGCAACCTTCCCCAAGGTTGCCACACCCCAGAGGTAGGCAGAGCATCTCAATGCTATCCTCTCGTGGGCTATCTTGGCCCAGCCTCTCTTTAAAAAAAAGCGCCAGCTGTCGCGTAATTAGCGTTAAATGACGCTAGATAGCGTCATCTAACGTCATCTATCATTATCTGGTGCTATTTCACGCTAGTCGCTAGATGACGCTAGATGTCGAATTTCAACTATCGGTAAAAGTCCCTTTTTTGTTGGTGACATAACTCATAACTCATAAGCTACCAAGGTATTACATTTTAGCCGATGTTTAAAATAGTCGCTCATGCAAATCTATTTGTGTAGTTTGACCATATCAGTTAATTGTAAGGTAAGAAATAATGACCAGAAAAATGTAATACGAGGAATTGGTAATACTTACATTAGACCTTGATCGATAACGATAAACTGAGAAACCAAGAAGAGCCAAGATTATTCCCTGAGATTATAGTTAGATCTTAACATTAAACTTATAATAGGAAATTTACGAAAAATAACAATAAATAACTACAACTTACTATAACTAGTAGTATCTTACGAGACTTATTTAAATGGTACGAAAGTCGGTGGTTTATCGAGAAAAAAAAACCATATTATTTTCGGACAACCAAATTTAGGTCACCATCATTAAGCAAGCTCTGTCAGTGTCACTACGTTAGTGGCCACGGCGGTGAAATTTCGGGAGTAGCTATAGTAAAAGATAACTAACACTGTCGGTATCTTATAAAACCCTCAGAAGGATTATAAATTAAGTTGAGGTTAACGTTCAAAGGCTCCAGAGAAATTGTTTATAAGATCTTTGTATTTAATTTTCTCAAATATTGAGTTTCATTTTTGTAAAATAAGGAGATGAAAAAATCCATGATTAAATTTGGGTTACAAAATGTGGCGGTTTTCGAAAAAAAAATCGTTCCCAAATCATTTAGGTCACCGTAATTATGTCGAACATAAATATGTCTCGTAAGGTAAATAGTGTGTTATAAAAGAAATTATTATTTTAAGTAATGATAAGTTACAAGTGCCTCACCGCACAGCCGACATAAACGTGATCTGCAAAGTACCAGTTATCAAATCCTTCCCAGTACCTATTAGCATCCGTGTTTCTCATTCTTACTATCTCCTTTATCTGCATCTCATTTATTATTATACCCAGGATTATCTGTAATTAATACGGTAGTTTACTTACTTTCTATCAAGTATATTAAATTTACTGTAAAACAAATTTCAGCCTGTACTAAAAATAACTAGCCCGGAGATAAGAGATCTGTGAGAGATAAAACGCCAGGTCTGTAGTAATGAGGTCTATATGGAGTGAGTTTCAGAATTCTTAAAACTTTAACAATAGCTAAACGAGGATGAAATAAACTAGTTATAGAAGTGTTTAGTTTTGAAATAAAGTTGGTTATAGAAGTGTTTAGTTTTGAAATAAACTCAGCTATAAAAGTGTTTAGTTTTGAAATTAATTTAGTAATAGAAGTGTTTAATTTTGTTGATTGTTGTTGTAATTTTGTTAAGTACCTGTACCGTTGACATGACCCCCACTGCAATACTGAACCACCAGTGAATTTTAGCATTTTTAGATGTCACATACGGGTGTTTCGGCTCTGGATCTGCCATCTAGATTCTAGGTGGGTTTACTATTTAAAGCTAACTCTAAATAATATGTTTATATAAATATACAAAATCAGGTTGTAAATTTATTTCGAATGATCTGGACTTGGACAAACAGATAAAAACAGTTATATATATATATAACATTTGAAAACGATTAATTAAATTCAATTACACTGGGATTCATTCGAGTTTGGAGAATATTGTTACGCAGTATTTTAGTAGGGTGTTATTTGAGTACTTAAACCGAAAATCAAACCACTGCAATTTAGTATAATTATTAGAAAAAACATTTTTACAATATTCTAATAAAAGCAATGAAATGATAACATTCTGTCTACTGTGTGTTAACACAAATATCTTTAAACTAAACCATAATATATACGTAACTGTGACAAAATAATGGAATGAAAATCAGGCCCAGTTCTGAAAATGTTGTTTGTGCAATGTGTGGGATTGAGCGTGTCAACACCGGAATACTGACTGACCACACCAATATACAAGCTGTACTAACTGACAACTAACTGTACTGACATCAAATTTAGTATGCACACCATAATGTACACAATGATATTGTATACAAAGAAAATTCAATTGAACAACAAAGCTAAATATTTAAAAGAAGATTTCGAAAAGCTAAGCCACTAAAAATATGTACACAAGACTTGAATAGTAATTGAATTAAAAAGATTGTTATCGTTTTTAGGAATTTAAAAATTCCTAAAGTAAATCAATCTATTCGTTCATGATCTGCAATATACCAAATTTACATTCTGTGACGTAATAGTAGACTAATTTTACAACAGCTATGTAACATAATATTTGATAAGACATAATCTAATGTTATACGTTTTGGCGCAAGTTGAATAGAGAACTACTAAGGAAAAGTAAATCACCGTGAAAATCATCCTAATAACTAAATAACATATTAATTATTTTCGTAATATAATGAAAGAAGTTAGTAGAAGTCACTTCTAGATGGGTAAAGATCATGAAGATTGAAGACTGTGTAGTCTGCAGTGTACCATGTTGTCCTGGTAATGCACGTAACACGGGTTACTTATCACGTGACACAACTCGCGTCGGTGTGAGGTTTAGGGTAACGTGCTTTATTCGCTGTAAGACGGTGGGCTGTAATCTGAAACGAAACAAAAGTGTGAATGTAACCAGTGAATTCGGAAAATCTAACCACTTATGATTCGTTCTGATGAAATTAATTACGAGTTATTTGTGTAAAATGTACAAGTTTTTTTGGAATCACTAAATGTGTGTAATATTAGCTGAACTGATTACAAACATATTACACATGTATATTAACAAAAGAAAAGCTCCGAATTATAAGTTAGATTTCAAGCTGACATGAGCTGTTAATAACGTTAGAGTTTGTACATATTTGTATTACACGAACAATGTGACCTGTTGAGGGGACTGTTAAACAACTAACCTCACTTAGTGTGAACAGTTCTCTAATAACACTGAATTTAACATGACCACGTGACATACTCGCTTATATAAGTGACTGCTCATGCTCGTAATGATGCCACCATCAGTGTAAGATCATTAGCACATGTACAGGAATAATGAACTAACTCATATAATGTAACCTAATACAGGGTGTAAGACGTGAGTAAGCTTCAGTTATGTGTGATCTAATACACCTGTATTATATATAATGTACAGGTATAGTACAATTCCGTTATACTTTATTTTCTTTGGTGAACATGGTTTAAGTTGATACGCCTATAAGGGTCATTCACATATATCACGTTATAGGTTTTCGTAATGGCAGTGTGACTGCCAAGACCAAATTATGATATTTGAAGAACATCAATAATCAATAGAAATGTTGTGATATCATTAAATATGATTGATCAGTAGTAGCAAGCATTAATTAAGCACACGGTACTTACAAAACACTAATATTCAGTCGCATATTGATGGTTAACAAAACCGCGATCTAAAATTCCTTTGTTATGTATTGCCAAAGGAAATGAGTTTAAAATAAATCGAATAATGTGCAATGAACAAAAGATGCTAACAGAATATGGATCCCGGCCCTATGGTCTATGGTGGAAAACGTTTTCTATTTCGAATCAACAATACAAAATAAAACGGACACATAAGAAATTGAACTGACCTCCTCCTTCGGGCTGGGCAGAGGCTGGAGCACCGTGCTGAACTTGAACTGGAACTTGAGCCTGTGGAACGTATTGAGGTGGTCCTTGAACCACATACACCGGTTGTTGACCCCCCATGTACTGAACCGGTTGTTGACCTCCGATATATTGAACCGGTTGTTGACCTCCAGTGTACTGTACCGGTTGTTGACCTCCAGTGTACTGTACCGGTTGTTGACCACCAATGTACTGTACCGGTTGTTGACCTCCAGTGTACTGTACCGGTTGTTGACCTGGCTGCTGGACGTATACGACCTGCTGATAGATTTTATTAAAATAAAACATTTTCAAACGATTTTAGTGCTGGACATTATGAATAACAAATATTTGTCATGCAAATAAAATGAACGGAAGAAAATAAAGGTGGACAAGTTGAGTGTAGACTGTAGAAAGATACCTGGTGATTTGAAGGAGCTTGCATCAACATCTGACCCCCAGGCATATTTAGACGCGTCTGCGTCTTTACTTTCTGTAATATTCCAAGTTATGAGCAGAACTACCAATATCTCGATATTTATTGTGTTAAAAATTCCCAGAAAAAAATGATCGTCCATTGCCAAGTTTAAATAATCAGACGGATTTACCGAGTTGCAGCATGCATGGAAAGCAGTGTAGAAAGCCCATGTTATAACCACTATTGCCTGTACTCCTGTGTAAATGGCTGAACCGATTCTCAATCTCGTAATTCCTGAAAATTGAAGGATAGTATAAAATCTGGTTAATTCAAAAAACTTACTATAATAATTATACACAGGTCCAAAAATATCGAATATGATATATCCTATAGAATGTTAGATTATTTTAATAAATTGCAGTCTTACCGTCCTGGTACTGACTTCCAGAATACCCAGACCACCCGACACCGGTGTAACCTCCACCCAATCCAGCAGCAACAGGGTATATGATGAATCCAGCAAGGAATAGTATTATTGTTAGCATGATGCCCTGTAGAAAACAAAATCATGACATTAGAGTAAAGTGGATCAAAATATGATATCTTTCTAATCGACCAAGAGCTGGCTCCTAATATTTGAATGAAAAGAACAAGTTTATTATCTATTCTAATAATCTCGATCAATGTGTGGGTGGGTGTGTACGACGTACGTGTGTGTGTAATTTCTGAACGGCTTAATCAAGAAAACGGTTAGAGTTATGGGACTGGTTTTTTCGATATAGTGCCAACAAAACTATGAGGAAGCAAATAAGCAATTTTTTAATCGGCCGGTGGTAAACGGTTTAATTGATGGTTTTGTATCCCAAATGTAATTCTAAAGTGTCTCACTTTTCTCTTTTTCTCTCTCTCTCTCCCACATTACAGCTTTGCTATATAATTAGGTAATTTGGCAGTGGACCTCAAGATTACCTATCAAGTATTACTATTACATACGTGAGGGGTACTAAAAGTTAAATTGTGGTCTGTTTGGAATGAGCGAGTTCATACTTTCGCACCGTTTTAAATACGAGAATGTAATGCATGTTTTTAATGTAATAGGCGGGTGCTGGGTATGCACTTTTGTATTGCAACTGCGATAGTGAAGTCCTGGCCGTAGGCACGGGTTACACTAGTAATAATCATACTTTCAAAACGATCGAATAAAATTGTATAGATCAAGATAGATGCACTGTGGCCTGTGGGGTGATAGATAACAATTATTGAATTTGGACAAACAGATTGGGATGAAGCTCTAAAAAGTGGTGCGAGATACTCACATTAGCTCTAGCACGAGTATGCCAAACAGAAAAACCGAGAGCAGCTAGGGTGAATCCCTGAGACGATACATCTAGTTAACCTTCTTCACAAATAAATTTGGATATTGGCTGTTAGATCAAAAATGAAATAACCCTTGCAGTATAATTGTAGGAAGTAGTATTGTGGACTATGGACCCTACTGTTAACACTAAATAATATCGATTTGCAAAGGATACATTTTATGAAAGAAGAATATGACATGTTAATTTGACTAACCACAAATCCAATCCAGACGTGATCCCCATGAAACCATTCATCAAATTCGTCTCTTTGCCCTCTGTTGGTGTTCTTGCCATCCATGTCCCAGGCGATCTCCTTTACCTCTTGCTCACTTATAACAATCCCAAGGATAACCTGAAGTTTCCAGTGGTGAACTGATCTGATTTTTAAGGGTTAAGATGAATTTAAAAATGTAAATTTTTTGAACTGTTCATCTAGATGTGGCAAGATCCATTTTATATCAATTTTATGCCGATTTTATACATCAGACAATTTTATACATTGGAAATCTTTGCAAAGAAAAGTTAATTGAGGTTGCATACCAGTCAAACTGCAGACTGATAGTTGATGGGGCAAAGAAGGCCAGGGACAATCTTGCTATTTGCTTTCCGAAATATTACTTAAATATTAAATGTGAAATTTCAATGAATTCTAACAAAAATTAAATGAAATACCTGCACAACAGACATTACAGTCACTACGATGCTAAATCCAAAGTGAACTCTACCGTTCACCGCAGTAACATAAGGATGCTTTGGCTCTGGCTCTGGTTCTGTCATTTCAAATTATCTATGGTAAGAAATTGAGAGTTTAATTGTTTTCTGTAATCATAAGGCAATAGATAATGTACTAAAGAAAAGGGTTTTAAAATGCTCTTCAAAATTAGTTAAATGATCATCCAGATTAAGCCGGATTTATTTACCGCATAAGTAAGTAAATATGAATCTATCAAATCAATTACAGGCTTTAAGATTAAAACCGTCACCACCCTCAGCAGTCAACCAGGGCTCAAAAAAGCTTTACGGAAACTGGGTCATTTCACCAACTGTGCTAGAATGTGAATGACTGTGTGTTTAGGCCGACTTATACTTTTTATATGCAGCGCTTGATTAAGCGCATAATAATGTTCTAGCTAAAAAGTCATTTTCTCGTCTCAGGGTAAAGGTGACAAGAATACCTGGGCCCCTTTGGCAAACTTTCTGAACTCAGGCAGCTTGAACGACTAAATTTGAAAAAGTAAAACTTCTGGCCTGAATGAACTATTAGAACCTCAAGAAGCTGATCCGCATGTCTCCGCTACTAAAATGTTTAATGAGCTCAATCACTCATCACTTAACAGTTTAACCTTCAAAGTGAGTTGTACAATCTAGGTTGTTTTAAGTAGCTGTTGATAGTGTAAAACAGGAGTGACTTGATCGTTTTCATAACTTCGATTTACAATTTGTACCATAATAAAACTAGCACTGCCATGGGGTTCAAAAAGGGTCATTGTAAGCCTCCAGCGTAATGGTCCTAAGTCTCTGCCCCATGTGGTGCCTGTCAGCATCAGCTAACAGAATAGCCCTAACTTAACGATCAAGCCACAAATTAGGTTCTATAATGATTTAATATTGTTGAATAAAGAGATTTGAACATAATATTTGTTTTATTCTGAAATATTTGTTTTATTCTATACAAAATCTCTATACATACCACAGAGAAAAGACAATTAAAAAACCCTGCCTTCTAATCTGTCAGGCAGACCCACCTGACAACCACAACACTAGATCAACTAACATTTTTAAGTTCAGAATGACTGTCTTTACTACTACTTATACTGGAAAGCTAAAATGTGCACTATTAGCTAATCAACATAACCACGCCCTGCTTGTCTGGACCGTAAAAGATTTTGACGGCACAAATGTTATTTTCCAAACATTATAACTCAATTAAATTATCCTAGGCTACTGTTTTCCAAGTCTTGTCCTGTGAGAAAAGTATGTGTGAGAAAGTTTTAACAAAATAATTAATGTATATTTTCGAATTTAAAAATTTAATTTGAGAATGAAGTATAAAGAAATTATTAATTAGCACTGTATAGTTTAAGATATTTATAGCTTAATATAACCATTGATACAAAGGCCATAATCTTTCGCCGCGCCAGCTCTCCAATATCCACCTTGAAGATGTATTCTATATCCTTGAACTTTTTGTCACAACAAGACCGCAACCTATAGTAACAACTATAAACAGAACCCCTAATATCTGCTAATGTTTTTTTTCTAGTCCTAATATGAGCCTTGTCTCTAAAAACTTAACTGAACTAGCGTTTCGGTGTGTGCAAAATCTTTCAGGCATGCGCATTCCTTGCGCCGTTAGTTACCTGTCCTTCCAAAACCAAACTAGCTGTCAAGGACAAAAAGTCATACACCAAATGGGCATCATATTTTATGAATTGTTTAATAAAGTAAGTAAGTAAGTGAGTAAGTAAGTAAAAATTATGACATAACATCATCACAAGTGTCTACAAAATATCATTGCACTAAATAAAAAAATAATTTAAATAAATATATTTTTCCATCAACATTAATAATTTATCAAATTCAATTTAATAAATAATAAAATCTAATACATTATCTATCAATAATTCATTAATACTTCCCAGTGGAATAACCAAAGCCCTCTAGGTCGCTTGCAGTAGCGCGCGACCGCCGAAGGCAGCACAGGAGGGCTTAATATAACGGGTGGTACTCCTTAAATATTTTTTTCAAATATATCTTAATCGCGTCGACGAGTCCAACTCGGCGCGTCTTGGTAGGTTATAAACCTACAAAGGAGGGCTCTATCCACAACCACAAACTGGCACCATTTTAATAGGTTAACGATGTCAACCCATCGAGATCGTTGCTCTGCGAAGCAGAGCAACGATCGACGATGCGAAGCAAAAATGCTAGAGCAAGAATGCGAAGCAAGAATGCTAGTTCGCGCGGCGCGTCGAAGCGGCGAAGTCCTCCAATGGCACCACAAATCATGGTGCCAGGTTTCAAGTTCCCTCTCACATTTCTGATGCCGCACGCGACGTGTTAATCATTTTTAGTTAGATCCGTCATCCGTGCATTGCAGATAATTGGTGCAGCGAATGCAATATTTTCTTGTCGGATTGCAGAGTGTTTTACTGTTTACTGGGCC